ATTTTCTGTTTTTCTTTCCGCCACCTTTCTTCTTTCTTTCCTCCACCATTCCTTTCTTTATGTTTCTTTTATTCCTCAATCATTCCATGTCTCCCCTCTTATTTATTTTCTTATTCTTCATTCTTCTTTCTCCACACAATCCGCAAGTCTCTCCCTTTCCTCTTTTATTATTCAATTTCTTGATAGTCCACTTCCTTCCTTTGTTTAATGCCGTGTTGCACTCTGTCCTTTCTCTATTCTTTTCTGCCCATTTTGTTTGAAATTAATCCTACAACAAAATTAACTGTATATTAACACAAGGTAAGGTAAAATGCCACAATTTTAACACAAAAAACATCCAAAGACTTTAGAAATGAATGGTATAAATGCATGAAATATATGAGTGATCACTTCAGGGTAGGGCCTGTCTTGACACGTGCTTGACCCACTGTGTTGACTGCCTGGGGTCGGGGATTATCATGGCGATACCCTTGGTTATAGTGGTTGTGTCCCTTACTCCTTTTACCAAAATAAGACTGGTGAGGATGGAAATATTTCCTTTTGCCCTAAGATTGATATGTCTGTTGACTTGTCAAAGTATTAAGTAAGCCAGGGAGAGGCACCGTTACCGTTTGGAAGGTTGAGGTCTTCTCATTTGGGTAGGTCTGGCTTCCACTCCCCACTTACTAATAAAGGGTGGCTATGGGGGGTTTCCCTTGATATGTCCTTGCTTCGGTAGAGGCGTGGTTGTAAGCATGTGCCATCACCTCAAAGTAAGTCTTCCAAGTGTTGGCATTGATCATGTACTTAAAGAAACAATCATGTAGGCCTGCCGTGAAGGCCTTGAGGGCGGTCTTGTCATATGCCTCAGCGCAGCGAGAATACTCATGGTTGAAGCGATCAGCATACTCTCGTAGTGACTCGTCCGGCTTCTGGAGAATCGTATACAAGTCATCTGCAGAATGTAAGTGATCGGTCTAGAAGATGTGTTGAGAAACAAACAGTTTCCTCAGTTCCTCAAATGAGTCTACTGTCTCAGGTGGAAGACGACAATACCAGTTTAGAGCTCTGCCAGAGAGGATGGAAGGGAAGAGAAGACATCATTCTTCGTCGGTGTGCATCTAATATGCCATGGTGGACTCAAAGAGTTTAAGGTGTTCAATCGGGTCCTCCCTTCCAGTATAAAGTTGTAAACCAAGCTTTTGTTTTGTCTTCGCTTGAAAATGGATGTCGAGAATCCTCCTTGTGAGAGGGCCAAACCTGGGTTGGTTCCAGTTAGGTATCTCAGCCTGATGTTCGACCTTCAACTTGTTTACTTCCTCAATGAGCTGTAGGATAATGGGGTCCTAAGTAGAGTCATGTACCATTGGAATTTTCTTTCGTAAGTCTCCATTGCCTCTTGGAAGTAGGAAAGTTTAAGCAAGATCGTGTGGTTTTTCCTTGGACTCGATGTACTGACTTCTAGGGAGAGTTTGTCGGAATACCTTCGAGTCCCCTGTACCTTCATGTTCCTCTGGGACCTGTCGTTCATTCCCTAGATTGGCAACTGGGCTGGGTCGTGGGAGGGGATGGAGTCTTTCAGAAACCCTTGGGTCATTGATATTCGAGCATATGTGGAAGGGATTATCTCGACGTTGCTTTAGAAAGTCTCGACAGTCACGATAAACGGCTTTCAATCCTTCCAACCCTTCTGCAAGGAGGTGTCTTCCTTCACTTCTCCTGCTTCAGCAGCTGGGTTGAGAGAAGTCTCATGTTGATCAATGTTTTAATGATCAGCTCGCTCCTTATCAGGGATACCCATGTCGAAGGAAAGTGACCCTCCGTGTTGGGGGGCATCTAGATGATGGTTGATGTCCACAGGGGTAACGAGCTCGTATGTTTGAGTACGCCTAGTTTCATGGAGCGTCTCAAAGAGCTTCTCATACTGCTGCTGGAAGACCTCATTCTTCATTGTTATCTTATTGTTCTGAGCTTCTAGCTCATAGACTTTAGCTTGAAGAGCAACCATCTTTCCTTCATTCTTTCGTTGTTTCGCACTAGGTGCAAAAAGGGTGTCATTATGTGTGATGTGGCTTCCTTCGTTCCCCATGTTGGAGAGGGATGCCTGGTCAAAAGAGAGTCTACGAATGGTGGAAACCAGCTTGACAAAGCTGAAAAGAGTGGGAATAAGTGTCATTCCCACAGACGGCACCAAATGTTGATGCACAAAATCAGTGAGGACTTTGGTACAACAGAAAGTGTCAAGTTTGTGACCTTCGCTAGATTGCTCCGGTCACTAGTGTGGATAAGTATGTAAATGGATAGAGACAGGGAAGCAAACACAAGATGTACGTGGTTCACCCAGATTGGCTACATCCGTGGAGTAGAGGAGTTCTCATTAATTGTGAAGGGTTTATACAAGTGCATAAGTTCAAGCCCTCGTGAATGATTTAGTACAAATGACATTAGGAAATATTGTGGTAGAATGATCTCCTTTTATAGAATAAAGTTTCTAGCTTTGTTTTGACATTGACACGTGTCATGTTGTGATTGGCTTCTAATGTTGACACATGTCGCGCTAGGATTAGCTTCTGATGTTAACATGTGTCGCGCTATGATTGGCCTCCTGGTTGGAAGGAAACTCTTCTGAGTCCTTGACGGTATAACGTTGACCGGTACTCGGTAGTTTGGGGATTGGTTAAGTATGGTACAAACAAATGTAACTGGCAAAAACTAGTTTGGCTAGTGTGAACCGTGTTAAAATCTTATTTTCAAGTGTAAATAACCTCAGAAAATTCTCCTTTGGCTATTTATGTTCTTGGTTCTCACACGTGTGCGTCTGTTTACGAGCATGAATTTACAGTCTTCTTGCAAACTAAAACTATAGTGGCACGACAGGGACGTAAACCTTTGTCGTGTTTGGGGCCAGGATGGCCCCTTCTGGATACATTTGGTTTCAGATTTAGTACAATAGGTCTTAATCTTCACATGAAGAAACAGTAAAAGAAATACAGACTTACTTTAAGATTGGATGGACATCTGAATATACAACGGTAGGCCAGTAGCCATGCTATTGGTAACAGGTACTCCTGGCGTTGGTAAAGCTCCAGAGGAATTTCTGTCTTTACGCTTTTGATGACCTGCTCTGTCTTTACGCTTTTGATGACCTGCACTTGAACTCTACACCTCTAAGATGGAAAGAATCACTCAGATGTTGTAGATATATCATCTCTGAAGAATATGAAACATGTTCATATCCTTCACATTGTGGAATATCCTAATTTGGACGAATTTGAAATTTATTGTGCAGAACGAGCACGTAAAGATCCTCGGATGTCAAGGATGACGAATTAGGGCTGGGTTCGGTTTGAAACGGTTTGGTTTTTTGCCAAAACCGAAACCGAACCGAAATTTCGGTTTGTTTCGGTTCGATTCAATTTTTTGTTCGGTTTTTTTCGGTTTCGATTTGGTTTCGGTCCGATTCGGTTTTTTTCATTATTATTTTTTTTTTTAAGATCTGGATATTGATAAACTAACCCAAAAGAGAACCTGCCAAAGTAGCCCAATAGATCCAACAAACAGTACAGGCCCAAGCCATAAAATACAACATAAGAAAACCTAGGGTTCTACTGCAGCACTCGCCGTTGAGCATCCTTACTAGCTCAAACCCTCGCACCAACCAACCGACGCCTCGCCGATTGTAACATCCGGCCACGAGCACCTGTCAGAACACAGCCAAACAGACGAGATCCAAGGGTTTAATAAAGAGTATAGATCCAAAGACCAAAGATCTCTACCACATAGGTCTCCACAAAGACAAATCCAAGAACAACATCAACCAATTTTTGTTCAAAAATTCACAAAGCATAGTCAACAAATAAATTCACATAGCATAGTCAACAAACCAAAGAAATAAAAACTATTAATCAATACATAAAAAATAAATTAAAAAAAATTAAAAAAAAAAAAAAAAAACTACCATTTTCAGCACTCAAAGAATTAAACAAGAAACAGAAGAAGAAAAAAAGGGAGAAATTGAATACTTACTGTTAAAGAAATCCGGAGGAACAAAGATGGATGTCTGGACCGTGCGACCTCCATATGAATCCCAGATTAAAAAACTATTTGGCTTGTATTTGAAAAGCATAGATCGAAAGTTTATGGAAAAAGCAAGGAATATTAGACGAGGAGCAGAGAGACAAGAGGCATACGATTTGGAGAGGGAAAAAATGGGGATTGTCAAATAAATTCATCACAAACCCTACGCCTCTTGTGGTAATCCTTTCAAAAAGTAAGATCCATGTTACAACCATGGACTTGGCAGGTTGGAGAGAGGAAGAGAGGAAGGAGAGTTGAAGGGAGGAAGAGAAGAAGAAGGGAGAGATAGACTGAGGAAGTAGAGAGGAAGAGCAGCGGATGGGAGAGAGAGAGAGTGTGTGAGTGTTTGAGAATGAAAAGGTAAAGGAGTGACGGCTGCTAGGGTTTGTAAGATTTATAAATTTTATAAAACATTAAAGATTAGAATACCTATAAATATTATGCTGGTACAATTATAGCAATACAAAGCCTACTATCAAGTTGGCTTGAATAAGCTATCCCCAACCTGGACGAAAGGGGTTCAAATCTTCATTCCAATAGGTTTTGAATATTTATATTTGATTTTCATATTTCGGTTCGGTTCGGTTCGGTCCGGTCCGATTTTCATACCTCAAAAATCAAAACTGAACCAACCAAATTCAGTTCGGCTATCGATTTTTTTTGGTTTTCGATTTTTCCAACCCACCCCTATGACGAATCACGTGTGCTTCCTTGGCCTTCAGTTTGTACAAGATGCCGAAATCTTGGGAGAAAAATGTCCAGCGCTGAAGAAGCTGCCACTTAAAAGAGGACAGAAGCATTCTACATCTTTTGACCGACAATGGTGACCGGAGAGTCTGCTGTGAATTGTATAAAAGTAGTAGAATGCATGATTTTCTTAGAACCCAATGTGAGGTTCAACAATAACAATATACACAAAGCTCATAATATATAGAAGCGTAGAGTGAATGAGAAGAATCACAGAATATGGAATTTAGAGGCTTTGAATATCCAAACAACAGCACAATATTGAATATATTATGGTATGCACCTATATACAAGCAGAACCATCCTCTTTGTTCTTACATAAGGCCCTCTCGCTGCCTCACTTAGTTGTCGTGTTTTGGAAGCAGGGAAGAAAAACTTTTCTAGCATCTTCGTCCTCCCACTCTAAGAAAGACCACTAGTACTCATGTCCTCTAATTACAATATTGCTCCCCTCAGCACTTCTGGAGTTGAATGGAAGCTTTCTCAGCACTGTACATGCAGTTACCTTGATTTCTTTCAGGTACGGAAAGGGCAGGGCACTATCATATACGCTTCTCAGCTGTGGAAGTGAACTCAAAATCAGAAAGGTAAGTTTTCCAAAAGGGTTCTGAAAGTTCTAAGATGGGTACTAGTTTAACCTAGAGGAGGTGAATAGGTTCCAATTTAAAAATCCAATTCAATTTTCAATTTAATTTTCAGTTCTCAAATTAAATCCACATTCACATCACATATCAAACTATCATACTCATATACAATTAAACCAATAAATAAAAAGTGCACACATGATGTAGGATTTAATGAGGCAAAACCCACCACTGGGAAAATTCTCGGGCTCCCAAGCCAGGACAAACACTAGAGAAATAAGTAGAGAAAGACTTACAAAACTCATCAACTAGACACGCATACTAGTAGGCAGTTTTGTCTCCGCGCTTTGCTACTCGATCTCTCTTCAGTCTTCAAGTTGAAGTGGCACAACACTAACGCGATCGTCAATCACCTTTTCCTCGAACTTTGTAAGATACTAACTCGATCATACAAAATGTTTATATGATGAAGTGTTTATTTGAAAAACAATCAATTACGAAAATCACAAGGCATTTTTTCATAATTGACATTCAATTAAAACCTTAAATGAAAACAGCATGAAAATAATATTTTCTCTTTAAAAACGCATGTTGTTGAAACCACAAGATAGCAGCAATAAAAATAATTCTTTCTGCTAAAAAAAAAAAACCAAGGCTGCTGCCTTTAGATGCTTTATCTAAGAACCCCAATATTCATGCATATGCGGCTCATGAAATTTTCTATCTGTTTAATGCATTGCAGCTAGTGTTTATACCATACGGAAAAGCCTAAATGCATATGCAGCAGCAGCAAGAAAAACCCTAAACTGATCTAAAGCATGCGGCAACCAAAACATAAAAACATATTCTGATGCACTCGGTGCTAATGCTCTGTTAATCTAGCGGCAGCCACTGAACCAGGTAACTAAGACTTCTATTTATCTGTGCAACAGCTAGACTCTCTTATCCCTATCATATACGCGTGAGCCACAAGCCTAATAAGACCTAATCACTTATCAGTTAAGATATAATGAGATAACTAGGTGAAGAGATATAGATGCAAAACCAGAGACATTAACAGCAAGTTAAATCTTAAAAGCAAAACAAGGTCATGCGGCAAGACTAGGATCCTGAAGGTACATATGTATATATATGCTAGGGTTTTAAGCTGACTTAAAATGATGGGCTTTAGCATGCTTAATTATACAAACAAACCCAATACTCTTTTATTAATGAACAATACGATTCAACATTTTAGCCAAAATTAAATAGCCCACTGAACATAAATCTAGACTGTATGAATGCATATGTATGCCGAACTTACTTTAGTGATATCTCTGAAACGCTTGTCATTTTGTGATTGAGAGCACTGAGAGAAACTTAAACTAAAATAATTACAACGAAAAACATGACATTACAAACTCAGGCGTTTTGTTTAGGAATAGCCAATTTTACCCTAACAGGTTCAGTTCTTGTACCACATTTCCAACTCCACCCAGTCTTTCTAAATTGATTATTTTCTCAATATCATTGCAGGCATCTACACGTAAATGGCTGAGATTTGGGGAAAAAATGAGCCAAGTCAAGTCCGTGAGATTTGGGCATCGTGATACGTCTATGCACTGAAGGCAAAGGAAGCAATTTTGTTATATCATCATTAAATCCCGGGGATCATTGGGTGCTCGTCCTGCCCAATAAACTTCCAATCGTTTCCAATTAGGAGTATCCCGAATATAAAGGGTATCAAGATGTTTCATATCCACCAAAGATGATATGTCTAGAAAGCTTGCTTGGTTCTTGCCATCCGAGAGCTGTAGAGTCCGAATGCGGGTCACCAATTTGTGGTAGCTGAACAATTTTTGGAAACAAGAGCTACTTCGTACGCTTAACGTCAAGACTTCAAGGTATTTCAAACCCTGAATTTCCTCTACCAGGGCACCCTCACCATCAAAATGAATTCTATCTGAAGAACCGCATGCTAAAGTTCTCAAAACTTTTAGCACTGGAAAACTTGATATTAGATTCGGTGGAACAAAAACAAGCTCATCCATATGCTCCAAGTCCAAATACTTTAGCCTTACGCATGCCTTTAACTGAATTGGCAACTTTCTTAAACCAGTTCTTGACAAATTGAGATGTTGTAACGAAATCAGGTTGGAAACGCCAGATGGCAATTTGGTTATGTTCAGATTTTCAGACAAATCCAAAACTCCCAGAGTAGGCATATGATTGAAAAAGCCATCAGCAATCATATTCAAAGGACCTCCTCCACCTCTAAGTAATAGGGTCAACAGATTTGGAGATTTTGGTGTTTCAACCAGACTTTCAAAATCACTACCAACCAATGATACCCTTTTTGTTTTCTTCCATTTCTTCACATTTGGCGTTCCCAGGAGACCTGTGTGCACGAGGATGCTCTCGTTTTCTTTCCCAGAGTCACAAGCTAACCACAACGCCATGTCACGAATTACGTCATGCATTTTTACAAAATTTCCTTCCTCTTCCAACAAACATGCAGAAAGGAGAGTTCCTATGGTAAGTCTCATTTTTTTGCTTCATCTACGTTAACATACTCTTCAAAATCCTCACACATTCAAAAATATAATAAATCATCTTTACTTATCAGGAAATCTTCCGGAAATAGAGCACAAATAAGAAGCATGATTTGACTTTCTCACTTGGTAGAATATCGTAACTAAATTTTAAGAGAGGAAATACCATGTCCCCCATCATGGAACACTCTGAGGCAGATTCCTTTAGAACACGAATTCCATGCTTCCATTCGTGGGGTGTTTCTTGCACGTCATGGCTCGACCAACTGTAATTATTGCAAGTGGCAAACCGTCACACTCATTTGCCACTACTTGCGCAAGTTTGGGGATATCTGGATGACTTTGAATAGTTTCTTTGCCCACCTTCTCCTGAAACAAGGTCCATGCTTGGTTCGGCATTAGACACGTGACTTTCATCTTTATTTGAGCATCAACACAACTACATATATGCTCCAAGCGATTTGTGAATATTATCTTCGACTTCTTGTTGTTAGCTGGACCAGGAGTCACTGGATTAGGAATCTCTGGATTATGAATCCCAACTGTAGTCATTTCAATCGTCTCCCATATATCATCCAACAATAGCACATATTTCTTCTTACTCAAGAACTTGAAGATGTGTTGAGCTTTTTCATGCGGCTCATTGTCCTTCCATTTGTCATTAAGAATCCCAAGCTTTTCACCAATCTTATCTTGGAGGATTTCAAGTTTGTGGTCTTTTGAGACCACGATCCAAATCACAGGATCAAAATGGTAAGAAGTACTAAGGGCGAACTTGTTATGGATTTTGGTAAGGAGGGTGGTCTTACCCACCCCTCTCATGCCATATAACCGGATTGTTCCCACCTGTTCATCTTCAACATGTCTCCAGACCTCATCAAACATCGACTCGATCCCCACTGTTTGTTCAGTAGGCATTTCATAGACTACACCTATCGGTAAGCTTTATGTTGCCACCTCTTCAAACCCTCCCTTGCTTTTCAAGGAATCCACTTCCACCAACATCTTAAACACTTTTTTCCCGTACTTATAGCGGGAAGAGTAGTTCTTTGAGCAGCAACATGATTTTTAAATTTCTTGATCCGCACAATTTTAATCCACAGTTGTACCTGGTCCAAGCGCATCATGGATGTCTGAAGCTCGGCAACCTCAACCCTTCTTACGAGATCATTCTTTAAAATGGTCAGTTCTTGCAAAGATCGATCCAGAGCTTCAAGGCTTTCTCCGAGCTTGCTGATGTAGTTTGCTTGTTGACTAAGGAAAGCCCAGCAGCAGAAGTTAGCCGTGGGATCGCAAGGTATGGAGACTGAGAAAATGTTCCCCATGGCTTGTAGGAATACTGAAAATGAAAAGATGTACTTTTGTTTGGGAGAGGAATTAGGTAAGTGTTTTGTAAACAGGATGATATGTGGAATGAATTATTTCAATGCCTGTACGTTTACGTTGTGTCGGTCGGGCTCACCAGAAACTTCAATGTCACTTTAATCCGAAGACCCAATAATTCACTCTAGACTTCAAGATAGACTTTTTAGGATTCATGTTGTGAATTGAGTTCTCGTCTCAACAAGGAAATTTGCAAATAGGGTTTCGTTTGAGATTTAATGTTTTATCGAGACAAGTTTCAGGTTATTTGAAATTAAAGGAATTGGATGTTTTCATTTTTTTTTCTTTTCGCATCAAGTCATGTGAAATCTGTATTTATAAAGTGAGCAACACAATTTGGTGAAATATTCAATAAACCTAATATTGCCCTTTCCTTCACATTCAAAAATAAAAAAAAAGTTCAGCCACTTAATACTACGGTTTAGTGGTATTCCTCTTCATTTGTAAGTGAGAAATCTTAGGTTCGATTTTTGCCAAAGGTGAATTTGAACTACATTATTGCTAGCTCATTATGAGGCTTAACCCACCTCCTCCCCTTAGTGTAGATAATATCGGTTGTTCAAAAAATAAAAAATTTCAGAAAATCATAACAATATGGCAAGACCTACATTACAAACACATCAGGCAAAAAAAAACAAAAAGGCACAAAAATAGAGTAATGCTATATTTATCATCTATTTGTATCATCTATCTAATAGAGGTAAGACCCACCAACACATATGGGTCACATCTCTATTAGATAGATGATACAAATGATGCATGAAACTAAAATTTTGTACCATCTTTCTTGATTTTCAGTACAAGACATATTTTATGCACATTGCTATTGTAAAGACATATGTTCAGTTTACAAGATAAATGTCGCATGAATGTTTTGACAAAAAAAATAAAAAATTGTCACATGAAAACCTTATTTCCAATTGCAGGTAAGCTTAGAAATTCTCCTTTGGCTATGTTTGTTCTTGGTTCTCACACGTGTGAGTCTATTTGCGTGCATGAATTTGCAGTCTTCTCGTGAATTGATCATCTGGTTCAAAAGGAAATTCATCATTGGTGGAGACGAAGAAGATTCATCATCTGGTTCAACAAGAAATTCGTCCAATCTGCACTCCTTGTGAATCTACGTTCATGGGTTGGGGTTCTTGTAGCTTCTAATTTCATCCTTGTAGCGTTCTTTATCTTGACGAGCCTTTGCTTCATATGGCTCCTTTTCCTCCGCTGAAAAATGGAAAACATTATGTTAACAAAGTTATACTTCGCGGAAATTCCCCATGTTGTGGAAGCACACAAGATGTAATATAGTAGAATCACACATACCAGACATCTTTCTCCACTTCTCTCCAAGCACTCTCCCCACATCAGCAAACGCAATTCCAGGGTTCTCTCTCTTGACATTCTGCGGTCAACACAAATAAGGTCAATAATTTCTTCGAAACATCAATAATAACTTGAACCAAAAGTTAGAACCAGTAGATAGAAAATAAAAAACTCACATCTCTCTCCATATTTGAGAAGAACATGAAACCAGACAACGCTCTTTTGGGTGCATTTGGATCCTTTTTCTTCTTCAGTTTTTTCTTCTTTGAACCATCTTCACCATGAAACACCATGAAAATGATAGAGAAGAATGATTCATGAGATACATTGTTAGGAATTGGCTCGTCAATGGTTACAGGAACCATTCAAGCTTAAAGACATCACCTCTGGCGCATATGGAACATCTGGATACCCTTCAAATTTTCAAACAAGCAATTTCATCATCGAAGGAGACACAAAGAGGTGGAATGGCTTAGTTTGGGAAGACGAAGTTGCTCGAAATGTTTTTCTTCCTTGTTTCAGACCCACTATCTGAGGGCTGAGGAGGGATGGTTGGGGACCATTTTGAATTTGCCTTTTATTCTCTCTTTCTTCCATTTGGATTTTTTTTTTTTTTTTTTTTTTTATGCATTTCGTGCTCGTAGTTTCATTCTGTTAGCACTGCTGTAAGTTCAAGGGATAGAGCCAGCCTTGAACTTTGGGGTCGGCTGTGACCTTGTGGGATGGGGTAGGTTGGGCTGGGGTGGAGAGATTTTACCCAGTACACCACATGTCATAATATAAGTGGAGAGAAGTTTTTATTCAAGTGTCCCTCCACTTGAAAATAGAATTAAGGATATGTTGACTCAAAGTAGAACTGTAGAAGTGTTAAAGATGGAACAGATGCTAGACTAATTTCTGTAGTTTTTAATTTTACAGCGATGCCAAAAAATTCAAACGTATGAGGCACTTTCAATTCGCAAAATGACTACAAAAGAGAAAAAGCAGTATCACGACACCAGGCAACAAAACTATATTGACAGACAAAGATTTTGCATTAACATTAACATTCAAGCACAAACTGGGATGTAAGGAGGACCTGCATTTTTCTTTTTTCCATGTACCTTTTTTAGTAGACTGAGCCCAGCTTGTGGTTGACCTAGCCAAGGCATCCATAGGATCAATGCATTTCTTAAGAAGAGGATCCAGGTGAAGAAGACCTAACATATCATCGGACGCAAGAATAACAGAATTCACAACCCTCGCCAGAAGAACCTGGAGTGCGATCCTCAAGAGATTTTGTGCCCCCTCTATGTCCTTTCTGTTTAAGGCTTCAATAGCAGGGATTACAGAGTATTCCATGGTCACTTTATCCGGCAGAACAACCTCAAATCCCTGCATTTATAATACGAAAAATGAATATCATAACATGATGTAGCAATAAAAAAAATTACAAGTATAGTTAAGGAATTCATATTTAACTGGTAGGAAATGAATGCGATTTAATGTCCTGGGGAATTGTAATCTGTTTAAAACATATTTACTATTGCTTATCATACAAGACTAGACAATTAAAACAGAAACTGGAAAATGGGATCACCTCTCTCTGCAGTTTCTCCTGATAGAATCCTGCTGTCAAAGTTGCATGGCTTGCAAGCACTCCAATCCGCAAAGGACTTCCGGCTTCAAGCGGCTTCAACTTTGCTTCCTTGAGCTCCTTGACAACACACTCACCAATATGAAGAAAAGGAACAGAACATCCCTTAGAAATTTCATCATGCCAAGAATGTGATATGTGACAAGGCATTACAATGCAACGAGCTCCCGATTTTTCAAGAAAAATCCTCTTACTCAGCAAATTCTCCACAATTGGAGTAGGATCGAATTCAGGACCATCACTTTTACTGCTGACAGAAGGAAAAGAACTTCTCTCAATTGATAAAAGCTCTTTATTTGAAACATGGTCAGAACAAAGAACAAAAGGAGGGCAACTTTCTCCATCTCTTGAACTCCAATTGACAAGTTTTCTCAGAAATTTAACACTAGAATCGACAGATAGCCCTCCAATTATGCCAACTGTGTTTGGTAGACCCGGAAATGATTCTCTGGGAGCAGTGTTTCTTAAAGCTGTACTTGAACCAGAACCCTTCTTAAACTCTGAAAACGGGCCAGTTTCATCTGTGTGCAAGAGAACTGGGGATGGAGTGTTGGCTTGACCTGGATTCAACATCGTCATATAAAGGGTTCTATGTGTATTTACAAATCCCAAGTTATAGAAAGGATAGTTCGAAGGGCGCAAGGACGTTGCTTCCATTTATCAATCTACAGCAAAAACTCCAGAACTACTACTCAAACCATATAATTCTGCACAGATTTCTGAGTTGCGCAGCCTATGACAACAACCTTCTATACTTTGAACTTTACATTAGGCTCCACAGAATAAACACCCACCTTCAAAAGTTATGAACTTCAACAGTAAACTAACATTTAACAAGGAAACTACTGAATGAGTCAATTCAGATATTTCAAAGTATGCAATTCAAACAAAAATCATAACCTCCAAGATTGCAATCCTCTAAGCAGATCATGGACTCTCTCTCTCTCTCTCTCTCTCTCTCTCTCTCTCTCTCTCTCTCTCTCTTCACTTGTTCTTCTTCAGTAGCTCAGTGGTAGAGCAGTCGACTGTTAACTAATATGTCGTAAATTTGAATACTACTTGGGGAGGCTTGATTCATTCGGAAGTAAAGAACACTGAGATCAAAATCTATATTGGAAATTTAGATAAGTAGAGGAGACTCAGACAAGATACAAAATTTCCAGGATTTGAGGATTATTGTCACTATCGCTAGAAGGACCTATATTTTATGGCCCTACAGAGAGGGACATGATTCATCAAGGGAATAATAGTCAAGAAAGTGGGGACAAATCGTTTGGCATCTGATAACAGTGACAAATTTGGCATTACATCATGTTTCAGCAAACCAACAGAGGGCCATAATAATATATTTGACTTGTTGATTAGTTTAACTACTCTAAACTGCAGTAATTAAAAACCAAAATTTGATTACTTAGGAGTTAGAGGTTGGTCATGTAGCCCTGTTTGATAGTAATTTCATTTTTAGTTTTTAGTTTTTCATTTTTCATTTTACGTGCTAGAGATATGAGTAAAGTATATGGAAAAAAAAAGGATGAAGAAGGCAGACGGGAGAGGAAACAAAATAAATAAGAGCGAAGCAAAACAAAATCTTGAAAAAGAAAGCAACTTAAAATTGGATTTAGTTTTTAGTTTTCCTTTTCTGTCTTTCCTTATATATCTCTTCTACATCTCTCTCATCATTTTTCCTCCACAATGATTTTTATCTCAAACACAAAAATCAAAATAAAAAAAAAAAAAAAACAGAAATGGTAACCAGCCCCATGTTTTCTCCATGATTCCCATCATATAAATTATAACCATCGACCCTCTATTTCATGAAAAATAATTTGTCTGTGTGAAAAATGTCCAAATGGAAAGCTTTTTTTGGTTCCCTTAGCTGTTTAAAATAGACAGCTAGGATATATAAGTGGTGTACCTAATTTTTATTTTATTGAAACTACAGTTGATAGCACCAGAAAACATTTAGTAATCAGTAAGTTTCACAGCCAGTACCAAATGCTTTTGCAAATATACTTAACGCTTCCATGTGTATATTATTCTCTTAAATTTTATATACTGCCATATGATTCTAACCACCGAAAGCTTGGTATATATAATAAGACATACAATGCAGCATTTTCCCTTAAATACTTTCTTCATATCTCAAGCACGAAAAGTTGAAAACTAAAAACTAAAAACGAAGTGATTATCAAACACACTGTTCCTTTCATTATGATTAACAAAGAATACAAAGGAGAAGAGTTTAAAAATATATATGAGTAACGAAGGCGTACGTCAACTTATATAAGTTTTGTTTTCACACATCGAGGAGCTCTGCAACAACGGATTATCCTCCTTACATCTCTTGTTATAGACAAGAAGGCAGCAAACAAGGCAAATGATATTGCTGGGTACATATATATAAGATCTGTGCTCGTTGATTTGCTCGAAAAGATTTCCCTTACAAGCCCCCATACGATGAGAAGCATACCAAAGAGGCTCATTCTCCCTGGTCTGATGAGACCAAGAAATGCTCCTGCCACTGATAAGTAGCTTCCAACAAGAACCTGGTAAACGCCAGGCCAAAAGTGAGAAAATGTAATACATAACTTAAACATATTATGGTACTTGCTCTCTTTCTTTTCCTTTTTCTTTTTTCTCTACATTCAAAATGCTAGATTATGCTCTCTCTCTTTTTTTTTTTTTTTTATTAATATCTAGATTACGCTACGTACATTCAAAATTGAACGGTGTTTAGTTATTTGTTTTAAAGATCATTTTACATTCTCCCCTCACATCTCTCATATTTTTGTATCTAAACCGTCACTCCTCTGCCTCCTCTCGTTCTTTACTCACAAGAAAAACAACTGAAAACAAAACAGAAATATGTCGCTAAAGAGCTATAAATCTTTGTCCTGCTGCATTTTTTAGCAGTGCATAATTCTAAAGTTTCAACACATAAGTATTTGGAAGATTGAAGAACCTACTTGTTTAGCGCATAGCATCAAATTTATGACACCTTGACACATAAATCCCCCTTAAGATTAACTTAATAAAATTCGAACACAGTAAAGGTTCTGAAGATACGACATATATTTCTATGGATATACTAACCTCTAGACGCTGTAGGTCAGAGATTGCATCAGCTGCCTTTACATTGGTGAAGTTATATAACTTCAAGTTATCATAGCCTGGGATTGCTTTGTTCTTGATGAATGCATTCGCAAAGGCCCCCGGGTAGAGTAGCGCCTTCACTAGAAATAAAGGAAATACTTCAGATGCAATTAACTGTGAGGATGTTACCTCTACTGGTGTTCTACATATTCCGCCGGTACAGGGAATGCTGTGGAGCAAAAGGAACAATGTGTTAATCTTTTAAAAGGAATTTAACAGGCCTATCATAGTTTTATGAAAACTTTGGTGCCATGATGGCTGCAGCAACCAAACTAAAGCCCAAAATTTTAGATACTAACTGATGTGATATCGTTACCACTTTAACTCTGTTTGTTTCTAGTAATCAAAAGACTAAGATAAACTACTGCTGTTGAAATAATCATTTGGATAAATGGGTTGATTTCTTCGCAATCATTTTCCAGTTGCTAGTTGGCTAATTGACCAAATGCAGCATAAACGGCCTACCTGACAGTAGCCAAGTAGGCTAGAGCAATGTGCTCCCCATTTGTACTCAAGTTTGAATCCCCTCTCAAGTCCCGATAAATAGAATATCAATCGAATAAAAGAAAATACTAATATGTATATGGGGTACCAATAAATAACTTAAATGAGTGCATACAAGATTCCACAAATGAAAAATAAAGCCGCTTTTATAACAGTCTGCTTCTGCATATAAATTCAACCCCTCGACAGAAAAGGGTAATGAAATCATAACACCGAGATTATTTGACACATGAACCCTATTTATTAAAAACGAATGCATTTGAAAACTTTTTTTTCTTGGGCATTTAATCTAGACAGAAAGGCACCTTATGCTTCGTGCATCACCATGATAGTGTAAATTAAAAAAAAAAAATTAATACGAAGGCGAAAGGGAAATAGAATTACCTGAAAAGAGGAATTTGAAGAATAATGACAAGGAAATATATAAAAGAAGCAATGGAAGATATGGTGGTTGCCCATTTCTTTGAAGAAGCCATGGTACGAGGAACCCTACAAGGGGAAAAGGCAGAGATGGAATGGAACTTATCACGGTACAAGACACAGTGAGTGACACTTGTGCATCGAGTTTTTATTTTCCCTCTTTTTGAATAAATTGACTCAGATTTGTTTTAATGACTCATCAAAGAATAAAATTCTTGAGGAAAACTCAACTCTTTCTAATTAAAATTGTTTTCTCAATGAGTCCTGACTAGGCGTGCAAGTTGGATAGAAAGTTCAATTCCAACCCGAAATTTGTTATTTTGCCACACCGAAAATTCAAACTCTTCCTAATTAAAATTGTTTACTTAATAAGTGGACCTATGACATTTTCTCTTCTTGTTGTATAACTGAAGCCAACCCGTGAAGAAAGACTCAAATTTCATGTAATTGAGGAAATTTTTTGAAATGTTGTATGACTTAATACACACTTTTCAATTAGTCATATAAACTAATATTTAAGCAATTTATCATATCAATTTTTTAAAATCATTAATTTGTCATCTCACTCTACCTCCGTTAAGTTTTCGATTCAAAATAAGTCAGGTGTCTTGCACATAACTTGTTTTCAAGTGGGTGCTTATCCAATGGGTGGTGGTGTTGCACTATAAGTGGCTTTGGATTATAATAATAGGAGACAAAAGTTTGAAGTCTTAGCGGGTTCTTGCTTTATTCTAACTACGAATACTGCCCAAGGAAATGGAACAAGGCAGAGCAGAACCACCAAGAGAAAGGTAATCAATAAGAAACCCCATAGTTTGTTTTAAGTATAAAAATCCCCCCAATCGGAAACAAGAGCTGTTATACCAACCTACGGTGCAGTTTTCAAATTCAGTTTATTCAACTTCCTCCAGCCACACCACAAAGTCATAATGCTCTCTAAAAATTCTTCATGACACTTGTGAAGAATTATTAAGCACTCCTCTTACGAGCCAATTCTTTACCACCAAAACCAAGAACCACATACCACAAGAAAAGTTATTGTGACTTTCATTTGATCAAGAACAAGCTTCTACGGCCCTAGATCAAACACTTATGTTTTGGTGTTTTCAGATACTTGTATATCACATCAGAGGAAATTTACCCCAAAGATCGCTAACCATATTCACTTGTTAAATACAAAATTATTACTTTGTTCATGTGTTCTTGTTTCGTTGGTTTTTAGAAATTTTCGTATTTACAATGTCATCTCTACCATCTATAATAATGGGTATCATATAACCTATTATTTGTCTTACATGTGCAATCCATGAATAGAACATGGTTAAATGCACGCATTATCCAAGTGATTAGTCATATGCCCCTCAAATACTTGTGTTAATTAAGATAGTCTACAATATATGTATCTTTGTTCTACTAGCTTTCTCAACAACTCAATTTCTATATATGTCTAACATTGTAGATTCTCTTCATTGTGGTTGCATTTTTGGTCTCACCAAGCTCTTAGACGTATCCACTAACAAGGTATATATTTTCTTTTGTTAAACGCCTTCATACGAATGTCCTTCAAAATGCTTACCAAAAGGATTGAATTGTTATACCTTTACCCTGAACTATTTTTATCTACTAATCTGTATAGGGTAAAATAGTAAAGGTGTGAACTAATTGCACCGATGTTTGCCTAAAAACTGTAGGAATCATTGGATGCCCAGATGATTCCAAATCCCTATATGTTTTATTCAAAGATATTTCGACAATCATGTTCGGTTTTCTGCATTTCTGTTCCCTTTTGTGTGCATAGGAGGACCACAAGCAAAATCTTCAAGGGAATACAACCAAATTGGCAGATTTAAAACAACTGTCACCTCGCCATCGAATCTTCACCTGCTTCGACTTCCAAAAACAACAAAGTAAAAATTGAGAAACCTAAAAGCATACGGATATTTATTTATCCTTTCCAACACAGATCTCACAAAGAACTTCAGATACATAGTACATATATCTCTGAAGAAAATAGATGATAACTAACACTGTTATTTAATAAATGGTCTCTTTCTGCTCAGTTAAAACCTAAAACGTGAATTTTCTAGTGAGCTGTCTGTTTGATTGAGCTGTTGCCGACAAATCCAGTTGTGAAAAAATTATGTTGAATGAATTGTACATGACTGTCAGTGATGTGACGAACAACAAAAGTTTAAGATGCAGTCCCTTCAATAAACTAACAATAGGGATTCCCCTTGCCAAGGTACGGCCCAATTATATGACAATCCGTTTAAATACTGCAAACAATCGAGATAATTTAATTAAGAGTCCCGTGTAGGAATATGAGCATGATAGTAAGTTGATTTTCGACGGCTGTTATGATTCAAACAACTATAAAAAGTCTTATGATAAGAGAATTATAATAATTACTTAGGAATAAGATTGAAAGTGCAGTGCGATCCTATCGTGCGAGTTAGCATTCAACTAGAATTTGGCTTCCTATATGGATTATGATAAGTCATTTTTTGTGTTGGAATGATTCTTAGTTAAGTTCACCAAAAAATAAAAAATGATTGTTAGTTAATTGAATTTCTATAAACTGGAACTCAATCTTTTGAATATTGAGTTTGGCCTAGATGAGTGGAAGCATTTTGTAGACATCGAAATTTTTTGTGTTTACATATTCAATTTTAGATCTTATATGCAATAGTTTGAAAGTTGTGCAGATAACATAACTCATACACAAGTGGGAGAATGTTAGAACATGAGTATGAGAATGTACGTTATGGCAATTATTTGGATTCAAATTGGTGCACATAAGTCTTATAGAAAGAGGTTTTGTATTGTTCTAGACGATATATGATTGAAACACGATTTTCATCCTAGTTTTTGCACTCACAATTGTACAAGGATTTCTTGTTAGCATTCCACTTGAATTCTAATAGGAGAGACAAGTGGATTGAACGTGTACATATAGTAATTATCTACTCTCATAAAACATACGCTCTATATTGAATCAAAGGCTTATTGTTGATTGAGCATTGAAGATTTGTTCATAGAGGAGAATGTTTGCTATGGAAGATTGGTAACTTCATATATCATCTTCGATCTCTATAAGGAAAGGTGCACCACTTGAAGTCTGATATAGCTTCTTCTTGGACTACTTCTATAGGTCAATTTGGTTATTATGTTTATCGAATTGTAGTTTTGATACTTGAATGATTTGTGGTTCATAAACTTGATCTGTTAGCTTATGTTTTTTATAAGTTTAGCCTAACATCCAGTTTTCAGGCCCTATAGACAAAGAAAATTGTGATCATCCACGATTCGATCTTAAATGAACTATCAAAGAGAAAGCACAATAATAAATGCTAAATAACCATTGATTAAAATCAAACAGTGGAAGACCATAATTTTCATAAACAATATAATTCTAAAATGACGGGATAAAGTTGATTAAACTAATGAAAGCCGCATGTTACCTCTCTGATTAAGTTAGTTGATGATAAACACCACATCAACATCATACATTCAAGCTTCAACAATTATAAGGAAGCTTAAAAAATTTGTCACTGTAGCGTGCTATAATTATAATTGTTGATCTTATCTTCACGTTACAATTCATGGACAAGTTTCCAACCGGAAAAAGATCCTCGCCGGATCCTTTTTCCGGGGATTTAGTGATCATGGGAATTTTATGAGTGGGCGTTCGACCAAACTGAGGTAATCTTAAATTTTAAATTTTTATATATAAAAGCAGCGATATTGAGTGAACGAAAATCATGGCACACCACACACCACTCACTCTCCATATACATTACCAAAAAGAGCAAGTTGGTGCACAACACCGCAAAAGTCATCATCTGCAAATTCAAAAAAAAATGAATAAGGGAATCAAAGGAATACATGATAACTTTCTTCCAATGTGAGTAATTAATGTCTTCTTATTTCTAAAGACAAACAGCATCTTTTTCTTAAATCGAATGTTAATAAACTTTTAGGCATCATGAACTTTCACTACCTTTCATTTTCAAATAAAAAATAAAAAATAGAAATCATGTTGACACACTTCGATCTGATTAGCCTTCTAATTAAAGGTGAAAATGTGCTGGTCAATATTAAATTAACGATAAAATTAACCGTAGAGATGACAAAATATCATCAATTTAATGATAAAATCATGAATAAAAAAATTGTAATGTGAAATATTTTGAAATCATTACAAAAGCAGTTGCCAAAATAGAAACGCCAAAACGAAGAGATATCAGTCCATTTTCATTGATGTCACTTGCCCCTTGGCTCAAACCAAGCACCGTTTTCACAATTTCTTACCACAAAACTACAAAAGTCGAAAAAATACAACCAAACACGAGAAATTTTTCATTGTTACAGGAATAGGATACACCATGTATTTTTATGTAAGTGGTAAAATTTTTTATTTTTAAGTTATTAACTTTTTAACATACATATCACACTATTTATATAATGACACGTGATGTACCATTCTGTGTTCTGGGCACATTAAAAAATCTCACAGGCTCTCACATGTGGGTCAGATAACGTACTCATGTGGGTCACGCATCCCAAGGCCATAATATGCTCCTCAAATAATTCACCACCAATCATTGCACTACGACCACCACCGCCACATCCACCACTATTTGTGTGCTCAAACTGCACTCCGCAAAAGTTCTCTCAGTTTTCTTCTCACTATGTGGAACAACCTCCCCTGCGACCTCCTCACCAACATCTTCTCCTTCCTCTCCGCCGACTCTTTTGCATGCGCCAAGTCGACATGCAGACACTGGCAAGCCTGCGCCTCCTCCGCAGCCGGTAACTACCCGTTTTTGCTGCAGAATCATCACCCGCCTTGGTTCGTAGCTTTGCCACTGCACGACCATGGTGCTCTATGCAGCTGCTATGCCCTCAATCCAAGTAACAACAACTGGTATGTTCTCTCCATGGATTTCTTACCAGCCCCAGTTAGGTATGTCGGCCCACTGGACAGCTTCATCTTGCTAAGGCCCACAGTTTCCACATTTCTCCAATTGGGTCTGTGCAACCCCTTCACAAGGCAATACAAGCCCTTCCCAAAGTTGAACATCAAAAGGACCAACCCAGCTGTTGGTGT